TCCTCCGGGTGGCCCGAAGTCGAATGCCCCGTCGTGGTGTTCGCCCTCGGCCTCTGCGGACTCACCGACAGCGGCGGGTGTGACGTCGTTTTCATCGTCACCTCCCTGATCTGCCTCGTCGTTCGTTACCATCGCCAATACTTCCGAAAAGTGCTCCTTGAGGTCGTCTATCGTAGGGCGATGCCTGTTACTCCGAAGCTTACCATCACTCACGAGGTACGGGATGTCGTCCTTGACCGCAAGTGCACGAATCCCTGCTTTGGCGTAACCATGAAAGGTAGTTTACCAGGCATCCAGTGAAATGCATAACCCATCTTCATGCATCTCCTCCCCACTGACAATACCGTGGGTGTCTCATCCAATACATGCGGCTCGACAGTCTCGTCCAACTCGTCCACGACTATCTTGGCCACATCGGATGTGGAAGTGGAACCATTCGCGGTCTGGAACACGATCTCGTCGTCATCTTTCACGATGTCGACGCCCAGGCTCTTCGCCTTGGCCCGTCCGATGAGATCATGACCACATCCGGTGTCCATCAACCATTTCACCCGTTTGCTGATGCACGTTGACATGGCGAAAACGTTCTTCGGCATACCATGCTGCTTCTTCCAGTCGACAGCCGATTCCTTGATCTCGTCCTTGTTCCGATCATACTCGAACATTATGCTGCTTTCCTTGGTCACCGGGAAGTAGTGCTTCTTATATATATCATCCACCACTTCTCTCAGTATCTTCGCACGTATCAATGATCGTTGGACTTGATAGGCTGATAATTCACGATGATCACTGCTTTTGAACTTCTTCTCGTCGACGTACACGTACTGATAAGGCTCATTCTCATTGTCCTCATAACCGTACCATTCCCCTTTTCGTTCCCATTGCCTTCTCTCGTCTTCGAGGTAGGTGATCTCCCCATTCTCGTCGACGTCGAGCACTTCCTTGAACCATACCATTTTCTCGGGGATCTCGGACTCGCCAGACCATCTCGATGATTCGCTCATCGCGTCGTCATCGTGCTCGTGGTAGATAGTCTCGGCTTCGTCCGGTTCGACCTGATCAACGTCCTTCTTGAAGCTCACCTTCCCCGCAGGAGCCGATTGCTTCAGGACTATCGCGGGCATTGCGATGGCCCTCCTCGCAATGGCTGGCGCTGCGGCTTTGGCGGCAGCCTTCGACTTGGCTTGCGCCTTGTCATTTGACGTTGCTGGAGCTGAATTGTTCTTGATGAGCTCATGCCTGTACTTGCAAGCGCTCCCCCTATCGCACTTCCCCTTCTGAAACGCGAAGCATGCTCCATCATCCCTCTTTGGTGACGATGATCTGGATTTGGATTTGCCCTTTCCTTTCCCCTTGGACATGCTCTCCAACTTATGCTCCGTCTTCTTGCTGTGGGAAAACGTGCATTCATTTCCTTTCACGCACCCCTTCGCCGATTTGAAGTGGTACCAGCAGGGGTTATCCTTGCCTCCGCCCGGACTCTTGCCTCTGTCGCTGGCACCGTCGGACTTGCCGTTCTTGCCAGCGTGGCCCTTTGCCTTGGCTTTTGGGAGCACAGGAGCGGCATCAGGTCCACCGGGTTTCCCCTTTCTGCCCTTGCCACCCTGGTTCTCCTGTTTGCCAGTTGCTGGAGCCGCATCCTTCCCGCCTGACTTCATCATCGACTTGACCGATTTCTCCTTCATGTCGAGCATCAGGTCTTCCCGATCTGCCTTGATCTGATAGTCGATCAACGCCAATAAGAATTCATACGTCTTCTGAGGATGCTTGTCCGGTAGTCTATGGTAGGCATTGAGGCCGAACTCCATCTTCTTGCTCCCTTTGATCTTCCTGTAAAGGATGTCTCTGAGAGCCAGCTTACTGGGTCTGTCCTCGCTCCTCATCTTCAGCAGCAAATCATACCATTTGTTCCTGAACATGACCAAGTTCTTGTCGCCAGGAAAGTCAAGGTTGAATAGATGCTCGATGTGGTAGACAAGATCCGTTCTATCGGAAGTTCTGAATGATTGCATAACTAATGCCACCAACTCTCGTCCCTTCACGATCACCCCTTGTTGATGTCGTAGTTCAGAGTGTCGTGTAGCATCGAGGTATACGTCCTTGGCTTCGTCAGGTGCTTGTTTCAGCATGTTCTGCATGCCCATGGCCATCTTAATATCTATCGTAGCAAATCTGTCGCCACCTGAATCGCTAAGCAAATCCAGGTCTGGGTTCAACCCAAGAGCCTGCTCCAGCCATTTCGTCCATGCGTCGGTATCTGGATCTGCACATGCGCTCAGAACATTCATCAGCAGTTGCATCTTCCAGGTGTCAAGTTGATGGATCTTTGGCCAGGCCGGAATAGATACTCTCTCGGCCTCTTTCCTCGAGATTCTCGGTCGATCATTCTTGATCTCTCGGTCATCTCTCGATCTCCTTCGTCTCCTCCGTGTCCGATCGTCTTCTTCCTCTTCTTTCTTCCTCGTCTTGTTCATCTCCTTCGTTGTCGTCATCTTCATCCTCATCATCGGGTGGATCATCCGGAGGTCCTCCTCCGCCACCAGCGAGGCTCAACTGACGTCGACCTGCTCCCTGCCCATTCCCATTGGGCGGGAATCCACCGTAATCCAATGGGGGCGTAGTACCGTTGTTTCCCCCTCCATCACCGCCACCAGTCGCAGTAGTGGATTGTGGGACATGTCCGACAACTCCTTGCATCTGGGATAGGTGTACATCGATCATTGGATCACCGAAAGACGGAAAGAGGATCGAACCTGGCATCAGCGACGAATTAGGGATTTGATTTGAAGACGATGACGGGACTGACCCAGCCACCTTCTTGTCTATCCTATTTGAATTAGCCTGGTTTCCTCCCTCAGCGCGTTTCACTACTGCTCGTTCACGATGTCCATCTTTGCTGCTGGAGGCTTCCTGTGTCTCCAGCTTCTTGTGTGCACGTAGTTCCTCGTTGTCAGCATCGAGTTGGCGTACAAAACTCTCTTCTTGCTTGAGCGTCGCCTCCCTTTCCTTCAGTTGTCTCTGAAGCTCATGCATCTCTTCGAGGTACTCATCGTACATTCCCTTAGCTGTCAATCTCCAGTACTCAGCCTCCTTCGACTTCTCGTCCATCGTGCACCGTTCTTCTTGTTTTTCTTCTTTGACCTGGGCTAACTCCAAGATCGCATCCTGACGATGACCACCTTCGACAGCAATCATCTGGTCCTTCATCGACACGTCGGACTCATACTGTTTGACGATCTCTTCCTTTTCGCGAAGCAAGCAATCTGCTCTCTTCGATTCCTGTTCCGCAAATACTGTAACGTCATTCAGCCTCGCCATCAGCTGTTCCCTGGAGTCCTCCAAAGAGTACGTCTCGGGGCGCTTGACGAGTGCATGCTCCAACTGTGATTTCAGACTTTGGACCATCTCCTCCTCGTTGAACTTCTCGATAGATGTAGAAGATTCTATGCCTCTGATCTGTTGCTGATAAACTGATATCTGTTGTGAAGCCTCACGGTGTATCTGTTTTGCACGTATAGCTGATTCCTGCGCGGCCGACTTCTCGCTTGCCATGTAGGATTTCATCAATGCAATCTCCCGCTTCTGCTCCATGATAGTTCCTTCAGCTTGTCTCATCTGTTGCATTATAATATTCGACTCCATGTCTTTCTTCTCCCCGTACTGAAATGCGTTCATTTCCACCTTGCGCATCTGTTGGGCTTCTTCCTCAAACTTGCGCCATGCCTCAGCCATGTGGTGTTGGTGGTGACTCACTAGATGTCCCGACTGCTTGCTGGCAATCTCGCATCGTCTTTCCAGCTCCTGGATCCGGATGGTGCTTCCATAATCTTCCTGATGAAGATTCGCCATAGCTGCCGACATTTCATCAAGTGTCTTTTGATATTCCCCGATCTCCACCTCCATCTTATTCTTCTCTTTGATCGCGGCGCGAAACTCCGCACTGGTGGGTGATTTTGACCTCCCACCCTTCGACGTCGATCTCACGCCCTTCTGCGACGTCCGTGGTGTCGCAGGCGAAGATGATGATCTTCTCGGTGGGGATTCTCTTTTCTTCGACTCCTGATGAACATCGATCTGCTTCCATGATCTTGTGGGAGTAGATATGTCGCTGAATAGCGCGGAACCTCCGCTCCCAGGTTCATCCTGTGAATCTGCAATCATATCCATCACCGCAGGAAGAGCCATCAATCCATTGGATCCCTCTGAGCTGCTGTTCCCAAAAGTTGCAGTACTTGGGCTCGCCGAAGACGCCATTGTACTGTGTAGGTTATCGTTCCTTTATTGTCCCTGTACCCGCAATAAACCAGCTGTCTCCCAGTCCAGTGTAGAGCTTGTAGTTACGGCTGATAACCTGTCAAGAGACGGCAAGGTGACGTCCCGTGGGACGCTATGCACCGAACCCTCAAGCTGTAATACCAACCACGTAGAAAGGTGTATACGGACGATGCCGTTATAGCCGAACCCGTGTAAACGTTGTAAGGGAGAAGGAATGATAGTTACAACAGTGGTCCTGACAAATGCAGCGCAAGCGAAGTGTTTTCCGCTCTCAATGCCGATCACGTATGTATACAGTCACACATCAGATCTTGAACCTCAATTGTGTCTTGAGCCAAATGGCGATCAATGGAACTTGGGAAGCAACACCAACAAGGACCTCAGAACAGCTACCCATTTTCGGCACGGGGCCTAGAGGGTTTTAACACAGAGGAACCCCGGTGGCCAGCACCAGTTGGAAGATGCCTTTTTGAGGGCGTGGCTCACTTGGGGGACATACTACACAAAATCCGCTTCACAGCGCTTGTGGATGAAACCCTTGGAAAATCCACCGACCACCCGGTGTGGTTTGTGAACTTTGCTCATCCACAGTATCTAGAGCTAACCACTTCCTAGACCTAGTTTCTCCAACTCCAAATTTGCCGCCTTGGTTTGATTCTGGGCCCAAGAACCAGGATAGCTCCCCCTACTGACTGAGCCAGTCATCTTGACAGCGGCCGAGCAGCGGGTGCTGCTTGCGCCGCCCACCTCGGCCCCAACTCGGAGCGCTGGCACATCCCACATCCTTCATTTAGGTGAAAGACAGGGATGTGGGTGTATGAAACAGGATGAGGACCCCGAAAATTGTGGGTTGGTTTCTGGTTGAACCCAACCTGAAAAGAGTGTCCTTAAAAAAAGGGAAGGGGTCTGCCCTGCTTTCACAAACAGCCCTCCCCATGTAGGCCACGATCAAGATACTGCTCCCACAAAGGACATGGCAAATTGTGTAGCTAGGTCCTCCTCCTTCCAGCCCCAAGGAACGCGGTCTTTTGACAATGGCACCTATGACCTATGGGTATGTTTGTTAACAGAGAACACCAAGAAAGCAAAAGCCATTCTCAATTGAAAAGATATCCGACAATAGTCATCCTAAACTTCGAATTCTGCGTTCCCCCATATCTGCGGGTCCTTAGCTTTGCACCACACACACACACACCGCCGTCGCGCCCGTGGTCGCGTCCACCACTCAAGCCCGGCGTGCCGAGCGGCGGGGCGTGAGGTGCGCGTAGAGCGCCAGCGTGGCCTCGCCGGCGCACAGCAGCAGCGCGCTCCTTGGCCCAGCAGAGCTCAGCGCTCAACTCGCAGAACCACACGGATGGGGGTGGTGTGAGGGTATAGATTCGAGGGTTACCGGTTTGGGGCCTAAAAGGAAACAACAAACCGTCCAAGTGCGCTGCTCGCATGTAAAACCCCATAATGACCGATCAAATTCTTCACCCCCCTCTGCGTGTTAAAGGGGCCTTTCACAAAGCAGCCAAACAGTAACACAACAGAGGGAGAAGGTCAAGGGGAACCGTTGCACTCATGCAAACCATGACGGATGCGCTTTTAGCGCCACCGCCAAGATGAATAGCTACCGCTGCTGTCACCCCATCCGCTCCATTCGGACCAGTTCTGCCAACTGCCACGGCTCCACTGCTCGCCCTCGCGGGCGGCGGGAGCACTTGTCTCGGCATAACGGGCAGCATTTCGAGCAAGGTGTTCTCGAAAGTTCAATCGAGTTCCGTGCATACCGTTCACTTTGGCCAAAAATCCAGTCCATCTCGTTGCGGAGGTCGTCCAACGTGTTGGCTTGCAAATGAATAATCCCGTTCCAACAACCAATGCTGCGGGGCCTATTCTGCTCCATCACCACGTTGACGAAAGCTCTCGGGCTGTAAGGCATCCCTTGGAACATCACGATCCAGCGAGAGGACAAAGCCTCTTGCAGCTCGTTGGGCAGGAACTCCAAATCTGTCTTGATGTGTGCGAGCCTCGCGATTCGCGACTCCGACGTTGAACCAAGGCCAACGCCCAGAGTGCGCTGGGCCTGCGACTGCTTTGGAGCAGCCAAGACAAGATTTGCGCTCAGCTCCATGCGGAGCATATCCGCCTCCCGACGGCCCACCTCAAGCATACGAACCCTGAATTGAAGATCGAGTTCGTAGCGGTCAAGTAGAGAGTGGTAGCCGTTCTTCAGGGCGGACTTGAGCTTCTTCCGGGCCTCCTGAATAACGGCACTGTCCGGGGAGTTCAAGCCACGAATGATGCTGTTACGATCCTCCTTGCGAAGGTCGGATGTTCCCACAGATGCAAGGACCTGAGCTGTGACGTGGGCGCTGAGGCCCATCTTCTTCAACAGGTTGGAACGCTGCATGATGTAATTGCGTTGCTGCTCTTTCAACAGGCGTGGATTGAGGGGAGATAACTGCCCACATGATGAGCAGTGCACCTGCCCCTCGAAGACACTGTTGTTGCAAACCGGGCACGTGGAGACATTCAACTCAACATTCTCCATTGGATTGAAAGTCTTCTGCCTCTTCGCTTCCCCTTGCGGGGCGCGAGGAGAGGCCACATTTGTGCGCGTCGTAGCAATACGTTCCAGCGCCGTTGAACGATCATCAACCACAGCTTGTTCCCGCTTCATCCCCTGGGATTCGTCTTCAATCGCCTCAGCTGGTGCACCTGCATCCGATTGCTCGGAGCGAGTGTACCAAACATTGCCATTTGTAGCGTCCAATACCGAAATAATCGTGTAATTGGGCACCTTGTCGCGCGTGAGGACGCCATCGCTCTCCGTCTTGAAAAAGCAAAGCCCTGCGCGAATGGCCATTCTGAGATCGATTGTATCTCCAGGGGTCTGTCTGCGCGTACGCCTGATACGTAGTGTTCGCTTGTGCTGGGGACGTCGGCGAAGAAGACGTGGGGCCGGCCTGTTTCATGCTGATCTCCACCGCCTGGCAATAAACCGTTCCGCATGATATTAGCGAAATTTCGCTTATCGGTGCGGTGATAAAGCACAGTTGGAGGATTGCTGCAAACATTCCAGCCGGCCCAGCGCCCGAGGTCAGTCCCCGGGTTCACATACCACTCCTTCGCGATGCCGGAGTCGTCGATCTTGAGCCAGTCCTCATGGCCTTGAGAGGCCTTCAGCTTGAAAAGCCAATGAGAACAGGGGACGTCTCCGCACCGGCTTGCGTCCGGGCAACCAAGGCCAATGAACCTCTGCTTCTTGTCCAACTTGAAAATATCCATGATGTTCTGGATATTCCATGGAATGGGATGTCGCAGCTCCTTGCGAAGCGCGAGTCCCAAGTCTTCGAGGTCCATGTAGCCGTCCTCATCCATCACATACCCGCATCCTTCTGTTCCGCGACCACGAAGGATCTTGGAGATGCACGTCAGGGAACGGTGGTATTCATCACTGATTCTCCTGACAGAAGGGTCGTAATCGAAAGAGGGTTGCTTGATGATGCTGAGTCTCTTGGGGCCTTCGCCGTAGTCGACATACTTCACGCCATCATGAACGCTATACACCCAGCAGTCATAATGGCCCCCTGTCACGCTCCTCCCGTAGGAGTCGAGTGGTACCGGCCTGCTCACCTCCTCGTCCTTCATTGCCACCGCAGCCGCCTTTGCACCGGCTCGCGCCGGGCGAACACTTTCGGAAACATCTGCACCGGAAGGCTCACCTGAAGTTGCAAACTCGGCTGGGTTGACGGGGGCGAAGTCGAGAGGCTGCCGGACTTCCACTTCTTCTCTGGTGAAAGGGAGCCCGACCATCTCTGACAAAGAAACACCGCATTTTGTAAGCGTCTCCTTGCAGTACGCGAGAACCTCAACGTTGACTGTGCAATCTTCTTGGTGGCGCAGCTCGGGCACATCGATCGGGCGCACGGTACAGTCGTGCGAACGTGTCAGCTCGGCTACGCTGCCCATTGCGGGGCGCAAGATAGAAAGCATATACAACATATGGTGGGTTCCGCGCATAAACTGGACGGTCTTCGTGATGTTGTCGTCACTGAAGCACATATGATACCTGTCCAGCAAGTCGATGGTCTCGACGAAGGGTGTAGCGTCTACGTACACGAGCATTTGATTGGGGTCGCCAATGATAAAGTCCCGGACTTCCGTCATATAACGGTCCCAAATCATAGAGAAGTCGTAGAGATAGCTTTTCGCGCCGGTCATGACTCCAAGGCATGCGCAGCCCTTGCGGGCCGCGAAATCCCTGGTCCAGGCCAGGTGCCTCTTGGTGTCTGCCAGCAACTGACTGGCTTCGCCGGCGGGGTGGTCGAACGGGTAGGTGCCACTGGGCTCAATGCCGTCCTTCCCAACAAGCTCATTGCCGTTCCAATAGATCATAGGAACGATGGTCGCCGTCGGGTAGTCCGTACGCACCTCGTCGATAAGGGCGGCCATGCGCTTGCAAAGCTGCTGCAGGCCTTTACCCCAAAGCATTTCTGACCTCCATGCACCGACACGCGCCGGGCGAGAAGCATCCAAGCGTTCCGAAAAATCATATTTGCGGAGCTTCTTCTTCTTGCCGGACACCATTGACAGTCCTGAGTCAGCGACAGTCAAATAGATAAGGAGGTCGCGATCGGGTACACGAGGAGCCTGCACAACCTTCAAGTAAGGTTCGCTAATAGTTAACAGGGGTGTAAGCAACTGCAAATAACGCGGTTGCTCCTGCACCCATGTATGGATAAGCGACTGTGCAGAGGTCGTCTCCAGGAGGCCCTTGACTGTTGCGGCGAGGTTCGCGTCGTACTTGCCGTTGGTGCATACCGATGTGGTAGCAATATTCTCCATCCACCGCCTCCATGCCGGATCGCAATCCCTCGCGGGATGCGCCATAGCCGTCTGGCCGCTCATTGCGAAAACGAAGCAGCACAATTACTCGAAAGCAACGGCTGCATGGTGGCATGTTCGGAGAATGCATTGTGAACGGCATCAGTGTAAATGTACGTGTATCCCTCGGCTTCCTTCAAGTGGGTGCCACGGCTTTCATCATGCTCGTGAGAACCATCACATTTGAAGTACTCAACAACAGAAATAGTGGGCATGTTACTGGCAACGACCCATTGCTTTTTCATTGGTTTTCCATTTCTCCCTTTTATGCCGATTTTACAACCATGGAATTCATACTTGTTCATCTTGTACTTAGTCAAGAAACTCCATAGTTCAGGCCATTTCCAATAACGACACGCCTTAGGGAGTTCAAAGGCAACTCTAATGTCATCAGAATAAACATCATTGAGAATGCGTTTGAACCCTCTCAACAGTGATCGAAATTGCTTGATGTGGCCCTCAATCTTGGCAGCACCTTTGGGAGTTTGCTGGTTGACATAACCCCACGGGCAACCTCCAGTGCACGGCAACGAGACGTAAAACATGATTGCGCCCTTAGGATTCTTGCTCCTAAATTCGGCGATTTCACGGCTCAACCACTGCCTGCACGTATCGGAGCACCCGTCTTCGGCTTCAGTGACCCGAATGACACGGCAACCTTTTGAAGAGTCTCTTGATTCGCCCAACCGTGAGGTCGTCGAACAACAGAATTCAATAAGGAGGCGCTTGGGCTGAACGTTGCATAATGCAGCGATCTGCCTATCCTGATCGCTAACTTCTCCGGCCTTGGCGCATGGGGAGAGCAGCAAACTGGTGGCACAGGCTCGCGCCTGGCAACTGGGGGAGATACCGATCAGCTCAAGTGCATGGTGCCACACCGGGGTGCTGTCAAACGCCTTGGTCAAGATGTCTGCAGCTTGGAGGGTGGTGTCAACATTGATTAATTCAAATTGCCGATTCACGAATTGCTCCTGGAGCCATCTGAAGCTAATGCGTTGGGTCCTATCCGTGTGCCTTAGCTTCTGTGAGTGTCCCTGCTGCAGGATAGTGATCGTGGCCTGATTGTCTTCCATCTTCTTAACTTTCCACTTATCACTAAGATGCACAGTTAGGGCATTGATGTTTGCAACACTTGTACCCGCATCAACATTACCGTACCGAATTTCATCCAACTCGGGATCAATGCGAGCAACAATGCCCTCGGGCACATCAAGGGAGGCTTTGCCAGCCTTTTGAGCATACCCATGTGCTTCTTTCCCAAACAGGCTGAGCTGACAGAAAAGCGACAGCGTCGGCAATCCCTCTGCTCTGAGCGCCTGATTCGCAGCGATGACCTCGGCTTCAGTCGAGCTTGTAGCGGTCGCTGTCTGCTTCCTACTGAAGGCATTCAGTGGGTAGTATGTGTTTGGTCCTACCAGTATCATAGTGCAACCAGTCG